AAATTCCATGGATGGAGGAGCCTGGTAGGCTACAGTTCATGGGGTCGCTAAGAGTTGGACATGACTGAGCAACTTCACCGGTTGGTTGGTAGTCTAATATGTGGATTCAGATAAAGTAGATCAAATTATGTTCTTCAACAAAAGAAATCCTTGTATCTTAAGCCTTAAAGCCTTATTTGGGCTCCATCTTCTCCAGGAGAATTTTTCTCCTTCTTTCCCTAAATGTATTCCTTGCCTCTAACACATCCTTCCTCTACCTATTTATGTTTTTAAATGTTTTACGTGCACATCTACAAGTTCTTTGGATCTACCAGAAGTGAGATAGCCTGAAGCAGACCTCAAGGGTCAAGTGGGGTATCTGAAGAACTGTCTGTTGGGATATGAATATAAAGGTCTATTTTAAGCATGCAGATCAGTCTGTGAGAAGACAAGGCACACAAAATTTAAAAAATCAATGACAGTCTAGCCTGAGACTCCGGTGCAGCGAGCTCCACTAAGGAGAGGAGCGGCGCAGACGGTGAGAACGGGGGTGTCTTAGAGGCAGGGAAGAGGTCTCCTTCCATAGAGGCACAAGGGCATCAGAAAGAGGCAGCCAGCGAGACGCTGATGGAGCTCCTTGTTAAGTCCTCTGGCTGAGGGAGAAGCAGCCCAAGGTTGCTGGGCGGGAACACACTAAGGTGGATTCAGAGTCAAAGTTCAGCCTGAGGCACAGGTGGGAAAACCAGCCAACACGAGTAAAGGCCGTGTCTTTCAAAGCATCTCACCCAGTTCCTGACCCAGACCACAAATCTTGTGAGTTGTTACGATGACTCCATGCTGATGTCATAAATGCTTTCACTGCATGTATGTCTTTAGGTTAAATTTATATTAGCATCTTCCTAAACTCTCAAATATGGTGAATTCCAAACAATGGATACTATTACACACGTGACATCTGCCCATAGCCAAATTCCAAGCCAACCCTTTCAACTGTATCCACTGTAGTCCCCATACTATTACAGGCAACCATTGCCATAAATCCTTGCTGGATCTGTAACTGGAGTTTTACCAAGAATTGTTTGTGTTTCAATTTTCTGCAGCACAAGCTGTTCATTCACACATAAGCCAACCATGAACCACGGGGGCTGGAGTTAACAGTGGCCACCTCTTAGCTCTCCGCTCTGATTTTGGGTTGGTATGTTATACCTGAAGAGCACTCATCCTTGGGTACCTTGACATCTGGCTATAACATCCTTTATGTATCTTTGCAGCTCTTACCTTCAGACTGTGTGGTCACTCTTACACAATGGTTCTCAATGTTGGCTGTACATTAAAATCACCTTGAAAGCGTCTGCAATCTATCCATGCCAACGCCCTATTCCAGCCCAATTAAAACAATCTGTGAATGTGAACATAGGCATTTTTTTTTTTTAATTTCTCAGGTGACTTTAATGTGAAGCCAAGGTTGAAACATCTGCTTTACACCAGAATTAAAAACTTCAGCTCCTGGTTCATCTGTGCCCTCTTTCTCCCAACTCTTGTAAAGTCCAAGAGAACAACCTGCCCAACCAATAACTCTAATTCCTTGACCAGCTCAATTCTAATGACATGTCCTTCAATTTCACTCCAGCTCTTATACACAACGCTGTGGATTTATCATAACTTTGAGCTGCCTGGCATCTGATTAAATAAGCAAGAGGACTTCTGGATTTACGGGTCATCATTTCAGTTGGTTAATTCCTTTCTTATTTCACACTATGCTGCCACTGGGGTGTGGGGGGCTTGCTGCAACCTTGCTAAGTCTGCCAGTCTTCTCTCCATTCCATGTCCTTTCTGATCTGGCTGATCCTCTGTGGTGGGTCGCTCCTGTGATTGCTTGCAATGCTATCAAGTCTCTTCTCCTCTGGTTCTCTGTCACACCCACAAAACCTCCAATTATGCATCAGACCAAATCTGCCTTCTCCACTGCCAGGCCTAGATGCTGAGGATTACTGAGGGAAAACCCAACACGGAAAGATGCCACCAAGGCTTTTACGGTATTCCAACAGTAGCTCTCAGAACTACTCAGGAATCTCTTTGTCCCCAGTGAGCCCTGCTCTTGCTGTCCTTACAGGTATTCTCACAGTCACTATCCTTCCTGTCTCACTCCTATGACCCTCACATTGGAAGCAGACCCTCCTTCCTGTTTTGGAGAACATGGAGATATTCTCAATTTCCAAGCTTCCACGCCATCGACTTACCTGTATCCTCTTTTATGTTTACCTATTTTAGAGGGGTAGTGCTCTATGCTCAGCATGGCCAGACAACACTCCTTTATGGAGGGGGCTGTCCTGGGGATGCTATGAGGTTTAGCCACATCTGTGACCCCCACCCACTAGACATCAGTAGTACCTCTCGCCTTGTTGATATTTGCAGAAATTTCTCCAAGCGTTGCCAGATGTGTTCTGGGAGGCAAAAATCACCCTCAGTGGAGAACCATTGCTCTAAGCCAAGATTAACCTATCAACCTGTCTTTCCAATGGAAAGCTCCTGCTTCTGCTAAGATCCATGTGTGCTTTCTTTAACTGCCTTCAATGTGAACCTGTCCCCTTGGCTTTGACAACTTAGGACATGATTTATGTCATTCCAGTATTTAGAAAGTCATTCCTGGAACCAGATCATCCTCCAGCTACCACTTGACTTTTGTTTTCTTCGAGTAAAGCTCTGGGGATGTCTTCCACAGGTTCACTTGCGGAGGCCTGTTCTATCCATCAACCCTCATCACAGTAGTGTGAGTCCCTGACCCTACTGCTCACGTGCCAGGTCCTTGGTGACCACATGCTGAGACCCTACCTGACCGGCTGTTTCTGACACTCTTGACTGTACCCTCCTTGAACCTCTCTTTTCCCCTGGCTTCCAGGCCACTTCTTTTTCCCCCTTCTTTCTCCTCTGATTATTCTTTCTTAATCTTCTTCCCTTCAGCTGTGAAGTGGAAGTCGCTCAGTCGTGTCCAACTCTTTGCAACCCCATGGGCTATATAGTTCATGGAATTCTCCAGGCCAGAATACTGGAGTGGGTAGCCTTTCCCTTCTCCAGGGGATCTCCCCAACCCAGGGATCAAACCCAGGTCTCCCGCATTACAGAAGGATTCTTTACCAGCTAAGCCACCAGGGCAGCCCCTCACCTGACTGTCCCTTAAATCCTAGTTAGTGTTCCACTGGGATTCTGTCCTTGGCTGCCTTCTCTCAGAACTCTTTGCTCTGTGCTATCTTCTTTATTACAAACTTCAACTTTCTTCATATAATTCAATGAATACATTAGTGCCCTCATTTTATTCTGAAGCTCTACCGTCTCTCAAATTCCAGTCCTGAATTACTAGCTCCCCAGTAATTACCAGCTCTATCTGGGAGCCCTACAGACATCACTAACAAATCAAGATATCTATAACAACTCATCACATCCTACTCCTACCATTCCCTTTCTCTATCTCCCCAAATTCTCCTTATTCCTTTATTATTTCTGTGGTACCACTATCCATGTAGCTGTATAATAAGTCTTAGCATAACCCTAGATTCCAGCTTAATCATATCTAATCAATCATAAAATCCTGCCAAATTTACCTTATGACACCTCCCCTCCATCTCTAGTAGTTCAGGTTTTTAATGTACTTTTTTCAATGGCTTCTTCACCAATTTCCCAGCTCCCTCTAATCCAACCACCATGCTGCCGCTGGAATGGTATTTTTCTCCTGTAAATCTGTACATGTCAGTCCTTCTCCAGGGAATCCCCTTTGTCTGAAGGCTACAGTCTAAGCATCTGAGCAGAGCATGCTAGGTCTGGCTCCTATATTTCACTTATCCTTCTTTCCAACAGGCCCTGTGCTCCCTACACACAACCATCCCATACCATACCTTACCCAAACTGTTCCCTCTGCTAGAAAGTTTTTTCTAAGATCATCTACCTAGCACATCCTTTTTCATCCTATAAGCCTCAGCTCAAGCCTGACCTCCTCCGGGAACTCTTCCTGGACTCCCTAGGGCATATTTAGAGGGTTGCATCTTCATTATAGCTCCCACCATAGTCTGCTGAAATCGCCTGCTTGCAGAGGTCTCACCCATCAGCCTGCAGGCTCCTCAAGAGCAGGCGCCTTGGCTATTCAATCTTGTTAGCACAGAAGTAAGCAAGCAACAAATACAGACTGAATGGCAGAAAAATACATGACAGGTTCAACTGTCAGAAAGCCTATCATGACATGGTATTTGTTTATATATATGTATATGTATATATATGTACACACATATATGTATATGTATATATGTACATATATATACATATGTATATAGGTATATAAATATATATGTACATGCCTGCCAGTTTATGGAGTCAAGAAGAACCAAAGTTACTCAGCCTAAGGTAAGAGTTAATGTCACATAATAAGTTAAATAAGTAATATATACGGTGGTACAGTGCTTATAAACTTTTCTACTAAAGCACTACTAGCATCAGAATTCTGCCTGATACCCTTAGGGAGTTGATTGCACAGGCTAAAAAATCATGACATTTCTCTGGCTGGTTATACATTCATATTTATTTTAACCTGAAAACATTTAAAATTACTAACAAGTAAGAGGAATGCTCTAGAAAGATAGAGCATCTTTATTCGGTGGGCCCCAATGTTTTTTTTTAGCATAAATGTGGGCCCTCAGGTGAGGCTGCTGACAGTGTTAGTATCACAGTTACAGAAATATGCATCGAGTGGAAATAGCGTGACACTAAAAGTCACAAGTTCCACTTTGGGTTTGCATCCTATCACTTGGGTTGTGACTTGGGGGTCTTTAATCTCTCTGAGCCTCCTCAGTTTCCGTATCTGGAAAATGGCTATAATAAAGATTTTCCTTATATATTCCATAATGTTGGTGGCAATATTAGGAGAAATAATAATGTAAACAATGAAGGGTATAAGCATGAAAAATGAAGTAGCATTTCATCCAGAGAGGGTGAAAATCAAAGTACATGGAATGCATATACTCGAAAACATTTACCTTCTGCGGAGCTGGAAAAGCTTTTTCCACTTTGGCTTTCTCCTTGGGGGTTAAAGGAGGGGATCTCTCCTTTACCTCTGGAGGCAGTTCTCGATAGAGTGCTATAATGAACAAAGAATTCACATCATCAGATTGAGGAGCACCGTTCTATGGGGGCAAAACAACAGTGGAGAGGAGCAGACATGCGACTAATGACACTGCTGTTAACTTCCCTGGTCCCACAATAAGCTGACCCAGCACTTATCATTAAGGCTCCTCACAGTCTTCGTTATCCAGAGTACAACTTATGATCAGCAAGTCTTGATCAGCAGGTTTCAGAAATGTAGGAAGTCTCATTTTTACTGACTATGTGTGCGGTCATGCAGCTGCTTATTTCGTTTTATCTTAATACACATTTACCGAGAACCTGCTATATGCAAGATCATCGGCCCAGTACTGCTGGAGGAGATCTGAAGAACAACAAGGACAGTCTTTGCTCTCAAGAAGCTTACAATCTAGTCAGAGACAGATGTGTTCACAATGAACTGCAACATACAACAGAGTGTGATACTGTTCTGAAGAGAGACAGTAACAAAGCCAAGTTCTGACGTGGAGATGGTAAAAGCTTAACGGAAAAAGCAGCAGGTTTGTCGGACTGAAAAATAGGTAGGATTTTGCCAGGAAGAGGTGGATAAAGGATAATTTGCAAATATGGTATGAAATAAACAAACATGGGACTGGACTATGTATGACACAGAATCTACTCATGGTGTTGAGTCTAAGGTTCTTATAATCTAAGGTTATAATCTGTATAATCCACTGATATGTATGGTGTTAAGTCTAAAGTTATGTGGGAACTTTAAAAGGCTAAAAAGGAAATCTGTTTTGGTTAAATGACGGGCAACTCTGAATTGAGAGAAAGAGTTCAAAATGGAACCAAAATTGAACCTGATCAAAATTCTAAAATTATGAGCTACATTAATGGGCTTTGTGTATGGGTTGATTTTATTATGGGTTTGTCTCTTACTGGAAAGTATGTTAGATATGATTAATGGAGGCTGATCTAATTTCCCTTTCCAGTGGCTTAAGATACAAGGGAAATGTCCTTTGTGATAACAAGGTACCAATGTCTTCTATTATATCATTCTCTTATTGGACAGGGCTTCCAACTGAATGGTTGAAAGAGGTTATTTGTGTATGTACACACACATACACACACACGCTCCCTCAGAGCATTTGCTTTGTATAACTGGTTTTGGATAAAGCAGAATTTCTCCTACTATTTTCAGAGTGGAATATGCTGCTGACAGCCATTTTTCCTCGAATGTTAAAACTGGGCAGGTGAGTTTTTGTTGCATTCAGGTAAAAAGCAGGATAAAAGGACAGGAAAAGGACACCTGATGAACTGAGAATTCAGTCACATTCTCAGGTTTTCTGAAAACTTTTTGTTTGTTCTGGCCTTTGCAAGCCTTTCTCAATAAGCAGTGACTAATGCCAAAAAAAAAAAAAAAACCCATCAATTATTCTGGGGTACAATAAGGAATCACAGCATCAGAAGGACGTCTACTCCCTGAGACATGGAACTGCTTTCTGCACACAGCCACCAAGGATGGTCACGGTAGTATGCTTTGTAAGTCCCACTTTGGTTCTTACGGAAGAAAACCAAGTTTTACTGAATCTTTAATCCCCTGTGGATCAAATATCTATAGTCTTCCAATATCTGCAAGCCTAAGAGGTTATTTCTGCAAACTAACTAGGTTCTAAAGTTAGCATCTAATACCCTTCCTGCCTGGCTATACACAATCGTTTTATACTATCAAGTAATAAAATACTTTAAATGTTTCCACTTGTATCTGGAAGAAATAACTGATTACAATATCTAGTTAAAATGAAAGATATTCTCCAGAGTGACTAAGACTGTGCAGGAAGCTCTTGGTTTAAAAACAGCAGCTACCCCTGCGGAATTCCAGCTGCTGGTCCTGTCACTGGGAGGGGAGGGGAGCCACCTGGATGTCTGAGATGACCGTGGAAGTGAGAAATGTTGAGTGTAGGGGAGAGGCCTGGGAATTAACCTGTCTCCAGCCTTCTTCCATTCTGCCTTAACTTTTCTCCAGTCTGCATACTCCTTTAAACAGAGAAGTATATTTCAGATAAGAGTTCAAGAGTCATTAGCCGTTTAATGCTCAGAGAAAAAGAGTTAAAACCATGGCACAAAGGAAATTGAGAATTTTTTTATGAGAGAGAAAAGTGGGTAATTTTCAAGACACTTAGCACTTTGGAGGGGAGGAGTTTGCTGAAAGCTGCAAATGAACAAGGGAGGGGAAGGAGTTACAGTGAGATTCAGGCTCTTGGGGAGGGAGCTATGCAAAGTGCTGGGCGCAGACCTGGAAGGTGGTGCCCCAAGAGAAATAATTTTATCTGGGCCTAGCCCCCGGCACCCAGGATTCATGGAAGAAATTCTTCCTCCTTTCCTTTATTTCTTTCCCTTTAAAAATTTAGAACTGAGGTTAGAAATCAATAGTGCTTTTGTTCAACCATAGTTTGGATTAAATGGAGTTTCAGAGACTAGCCCCAAACCAACTGTTATTTTAATAATTACTTTGCAGAAACAAAAGACTTGGTAAACATTCAAAATGGAGAGTGTTCTCTCGGCTGCCATTACTCTATTTTTAATTAACAGAACTAAATGATTTTGGTGTTTCTGGAAGAAAGCTAAGAGATGATGGAGTTCGACTTCCTCGTTCAGTGGGAAGCAACGGAGGCATCACAGTCTTAGCTGTGACGTCGGGATTAGCGCTCGGTTCTCCTGACCCCTGAGCATTCTGCTTTTCCTGCCCCACAGCGAGTGGACAACAGATGGGACGTGTTTTTCTGAAGAAGCGCTGCTACGCTCTCCCCTTGCTTCATAGTCTTTACCCTTTGTTTTCGAGCTGTCTGTGTTACTTCTGTTTTCTTCACTCAAGGCCTGGCAGCAAATCTACAGCTTTCAGAAACTCGGATTTAGAATTTCTTCTCCAGCTCATTTCTTTTTCCTTTCACAAATGAGGGCTTAATTTACTTGAGACTGGAACAATCTATTGCAGCCTTTTTTTTTTTTTTTTTTGAGCAGGTGCCAGTTAAGCCTGGGGATACAACTAAAAAGAATGGGAGTTGAGCATCTAGAGGTTCTTAGGTGCCTGTCAACCTAGGAGTGGCAGGAGGAAGGGTGACGCCAGTGTGTGTGCAGCAGGTGGCCGGGAAAAGGGGTTGAAGGAGGATGGTAGCGAGATGGGCAGGTCCCCTGGGATGGGAAGTCCATGAAGCCGGTATTCCAATCTCAGAATGTCATAGCTTTTGAGTGTACTAATGCCCCCCTCTTTTTTTTTTTTTTTGCAACATGAGAATGAAGAGCAATACCTCATTGGTAAACATATGCAAAAGTAACAAGACAGCAAGTTAAAGAGCAGAAGATGATAAAATCTGGGACCATCAGTTATACCATATTAGTAAACCAGGAAGAGAGCATAAAACTTACTTTCACTAGCCACATGATTAGCTGGAAAATAACCTTCCTGTCCCTTTCCTATGCTGCCATACCACCAGTCTTCATTATCTTTGAAAAACACTCGGATAATGTCTCCGCGATGGATGGCTAGTTCATCTGATCGATTCGCTGTGTAGTCATAAAGAGCCACTACCTAAGGGAGAGATAAGGCCACCACAGCTTTATCACAAGTGCACCACAGAGAAAACCCCCAGCACTCACTTCCTCTTGCAGAAGAGCAGCTGAAACCAAAGCAGGACTTTGGTGAGTCTGAGGCTGTCTCAAGGTTTGCTAATGGGATCAGGGGTGGTGGGAACACAGCAGGAGCAGCAAGATAAAAGGCTGCGGGATTGAGAAATGGTTACGAGCACTCAATACACTAAGATTAGCTTCAAAATAGCAGATGTTAATTTTTTTTTAAGTAAATTACTCGTGAAACAAATATATAAAAAAGAAGCTCACACATCATTCACTGTTAGAATTGTTTCATTCTACCTTTTGGTCCCATTCCCTGTGCTAAGCAGAGGCATCAGGAAAAAAAAAAAAAAAATCTCCAGAAGGTCAACACTTCTACGAAACAGGAAAAATGCAATGGAACGACCAGATTACATAATTTCATTGTGATCATTTGGGTTTACTGTCAATGTATCTTTTTGTGATGTGTTTCTATACAAATACCATTTTTTTTCTGGTATATCAACAATCTAAATTTACCTTTAAAAACACCTTGATAAGCTTATTTTCAAGAGACACAAATTTAAGAGGCAAGGCATTGCTATGACAGCCCTCTTTCTCTGTTATGTTAAAGTAGTCACTATATTTGATTCTTTTTTCTCTTGAAAATCCAAATTCAAAATGAATGGCCGCAGAGGCATCTGCAAACCCCTTACAGAAGTTACAAGAAGGAAGCAAACCTCAGCCCACTTCAGACGTGATGCAGCGTATAAAGTAGGGCATAATATAATATAAAGAATAGACTACTTCCACTTTTTTCCCTATGCAAATAGAATTGGAAAACCTATAGGCTATACAACGATAATGTAATGGAAAGCTATCATTAGGACCCTTTGCATTTAGGCTGAGTACTGATTTACTCACCTAACAAGTATTTGCTGAAATCCTAATGTGCCTGGTTCTGTGTTAGGGACTGAACATACAGTGAAAATAGGATAACTTCGAAAAGGGGTACCTTACTTAGGCTTTGCAGAGGAAGGAAAGATAATCGGGAAAGAGCTAGCTGAAAAGATGGAAAAGTGTGTCCCAGGCACTGCACCCCATGTGTGAGAGTCCAGGGCACAGAAACCCCAAATAGTTCAATATGGTGGGAGTCTGGCATTAGAGGGAAGAATCTGGATAGAAGGTGCGAGAAGCTGAGGCTTCGGGAGTGAGTAGGTGCCGGATCATACATGCTGGAAGGTTCAGACTTACAGTATGGGCCATGGGAAGCAAGGAATTCTATAACAGCTTAGAAAACTCTTTGTGGTGCCCTTAATTAATTTAAAATATTAATTAACATATTAACCAAAAGATTTTAATGGATACGTTTGGAATTGACTGCTGTCACTATACAATCTAAGGGCAGTAATGATATATAATATAAGGGCAGTGATGATAATTAAATTAAATGGTAAAAATACAATTCCTATGGTACTGCTTAGCACAGGCCCTAGGTTACAACCTGTTATGTAGGATGTTGTCTAAAGTTGACAAACCTTTCGTAACTTTCAGTATTCTGACGCCAACTCACTCATGTACAAGTGGGACTTTTAATTTTTTCCTCCCTTCTTCCTTCTCCGAACCTCTTCCCCTGAATTCTCCTGTGTTGCTCTAGCACAGAAGAGGAAAGCAAATTAAAATGTGCCTGCCATGTGCTGGGTCCCTTGCGAGCTGCTTATGTGAATTTTCTTACTCAACCTTTGTGACAGACAATCCTGTTGAGGGCAGAAAATCTTATTTCAATTTCATAAATGAGAGATTTGATATACAGAGAAATTTAGTAACTCACTTAAAGTGAACTAGTAAGTGGTAGAATCAGGATTTAAACTCATGTTTTTTTTTTTTCTTTCGTTTTTTTTTTTCTTTCATTTTTTTTTTTGAGACGAAATACACGTATAGGCCATCTTTGTCTAGTATCAAACATGGGACAGCAACAACAGAGGAAGGGATGAGGGACATGATACCCTAATCACTCACGGAGATAAGGCACATTTTTGGACAGCAGCACATGGGCAGTCGGCTGTGCTGAGAAGACTGTCCCTGGGTCACCTGCAGGCCCACCGTGCCCCTTTCCTGACATCTGAGACCCCGTCCCAGAACCCGCCTGGGGATTTGTTCCTATCGTGCTTCATCCTGACACGCCTGTAGAAAGAGGAAGAGATACCATGAGCACACGTGCACGGAGAAAAGGCCCCATGAGGACACAGCGAAAAGGTGGTCGTCTGCACGGCAAGGAGAGACGCCGGGAGGAACCAGCCTGGCCAGCCACTGATCTTGGACTTCCAGCCTCTAGAACTGTGAGCAAATATATTTTTGTTGTTTAAGTACCCTATGTTACAGCTGTTAAATCAGCTCTGGCCAAGTAAAACCGAATACAGTCTCATAAGCTGATGATGTCAAGTGAATCACGAGTTACCAACCTCTTATGGTATTGCCACTTTGCATTGGCACCCAGCTAACGGCGCTGTGCTCCACACCCTTATAATCCATCTCCTGATGTAGAAACAATGTCCTCAGCACTAACCTCCACAACTACCACCCTCAGGACAGAGACTACACTCCCCAAAGCTGCCCTCTTTTGTCACACCACGACTGACATTTAGGTGAAAACCTGCTGTCCACTGAGAACTCTGTATTTCACAGCCAACAGCCCAGGTGTGGGCGGCAGCGGCATTATAACATGACCATCCTATCATCATGCTGGAGACACGTGGCAAAAGCCACGTGGATCGCGAGAATCTGCTTGTATTCCAGTGTGGTTTTTTTCTTTTAGAAATATTTATTTTTATTTACTTATGTGGCTGTGGCAGGTCTCAGCTGCAGCAGGCAGAGTCTTTCAGTTGCAGCAGGTGGGATCTAGATCCCTGGCCAGGGACTGAACCCAGGCCCCCTGCATTGGGAGAGCAGAGTCTTAGCCACTGCGCCACCAATGCAGTCCCACTGTGTGCTTTTCTCATTATCTTCTCATCTGAAGACACTTACTGTCTTCTGAGGCTTTCCTGGTGGCTCAGACAGTGAAGAATCTGCCTGCAATGTGGGAGACCCGGGTTCGATCCCTGGGTTGGGAAGATTCCCCTGGAGGAGGAAATGGCAACCCACTCCGGTATTTTTGCCCGGAGAATTCCATGGACGGAGGGCTACAGTCCATGGGGTCACAAAGAGTTGGACACGACTGAACAACTAACGCTTTCGCTACTTTTACTACTATTACTCTCTTCTGAGCATCACAGTATACACAGTAAACTCTGCTTCTTTTAATTTGGCAGTGCCTTCGGCAGAAGTCATGTCTTCCCCATCTACAATTAGATTTCATGGTCATTTCACTGTTTTAGGATAAAGTAAAGCCATACTGGGAGCTTTATTCTCCAAGCATTGGAAGACACAATTTCATGCAGTTTTGTCATGAATTAATACTATTTCTATTTTCTTCTTATTTTGGTAGATCTTGTCACAGCAAATGTATTCTGACCACTCTCTTGAAAAGTATCTTCTATAATGTACCATTTTGTGCATATGGTAGTCTGCACATAGGTGTCACAAAATATCATTCTTCAGTCATGTCGGACTCTTTGCGAGCCCATGGATTGTAGCCCACCAGGCTTGTCTGTCCATGGGGATTCTCCAGGCAAGAATACTGGATGGGTTGCCATGCCCTCCTCCAGGGGATCTTTCCAGCCCAGGGACTGAAGCCCGCATCTCTTATGTCTCCTGCATTGGCAGGACGGTTCTTTACCACTGGGAAAGCCCTCATCCCTCAGTACTATGATCCAAATATTGAACTGATGAAATCTTTGTGAAAGTATCTTGACTTATGAAATCTTTTAGCAATCTTTATTTTTTTGACAGAAATTTAAAAATATGTGTTTATGTGCTCACATTGGTAATGACAGGTCTAGGAAATAAAATCTTCCCAAAAATCTACTTGATCACCCTGACCATTATTGACATATTTGAAACAGAGTTCCCTCCCTTACTTAAAGCTTGCTGAGTTGCTTGGGCATAGTCTCTCATGGCAGAAGGGTCATTGGTAAGGTTTTTATTTTTGGACATATTTCTCAGACTTCTTAGCAGTGCTTGCCAGATACTATATCTTGGTTTAGGTAGAGTCTGCTAGGCTACCATAAGACATTTAGGTGAATTCCTCTTTGCATTATCTTCTGTGAGGTTTTTCATTAAAACAGTTGTCTCTGAAGACTTCTCAATGGATACCACTGTGCTGAAGGAACATTAACCAGTATTCCTCAACAGCTAATGTTCCTTGCAATGTTATCTGTGATGCAATCCCAAAATTAACACTCAAAATGACCCCAAGTCATCCAACCAACCAAGTTACGTTGAATAAATCATACACTCAAGCACTTTCTCCTCCAACGCTGCCTCTGTGGGTCCATAATCGTCAGGGAGTTTCTTCATGCCCGACTGCAATGAGGCACCTTTTCCCTTTGGTTCTTACTCTGCTACCCTGATTTCAGAATCCTGCCCTTCAGACCAGTGAAAGAATAAATTTTTCTTCTTTTAAACCACACTATGTTCATGGTAATTTGACACAACAGTCCTGGAAACCTAAAGTGTATGTAGCTTACTGTGGTGAGTGCTGGATTTTCTCGTATTCTTTTGAAGACTGTTGGACATTTTTCTGGCAGGTAGTGACCTGAGATTGGTTTGACCCTTTTCAGGTTTGCTTTCAAGTTTTGTTACAGCATATTCAGGAAGATTTTTCTCTAGGACTCAATAAACTCCACTACCAAGGTGTGATTCTCCTGATAATTCTCCCTGACACCCCATATATTAGGAGACTTTTCCATCTAGCTGGCAGGACTGACAACTATTTTCTTTCTGTTGGGTAGCCTACTCATTTCTGATGGTTCTTTCCTTATGGAGTTTTGCCCCATGCAGGTACAGATCAGTACTCAGCCAAAGACTTATTAAGGGCACTTC